GACTCACCCAAGGGCTCTTCAACAGGAAGTGGCAGAGCCGGGTCTCACACCTCAAGAGTCTTTGTATTTAATTTGATTTAATTTTAGGTACTGGGGATGGAACCCGGGGGCCCTCTAGCACTGAGTTATACTACCAACCCTTTATAGTTTTCATTTTGAAACAGAATCTTGCTAAGTCATTGAGGCTGGCCACAGACCTGTGATCTTCCTGCCTCAGTGCTGGGGAAGGGAGAGTCTGTATTCCTGATCCCTCTGCYACACTGCCTTATGTAAGCTGCGTGTTTGTGTTTTGTGCTTTGAAGGGGGATAAGAACGGAACATTTGAGTCTTTTAAAAAGTACTTTTTTATTTTAGAACAATTTGTGGTTTGTGGAATTATGGTACGGGATTGCTGTATACTCCATGCCCATGTTCCCCTGTTATTAACATCTTACATTCATGTGGCACATATGTCAGTGTTACTGTATCAATATTGATATATCATTATTAACTGAATTCCATACTTTATTTGGATTTTTAAACTTACTTGTTTGCTTTACAGAATGTCTCTTTTTGTTCCAGGATCCCATCCAGGGTAGTCCATTATTACTTACTTATAATTTCTTCTTAGTCTCCTTTTGGCTGTGACAATTTCTCAGACTTCCTTGTATGTGGGGACTTTGACAGTTTTGAGGATACTGACTAGGAATTTTGTGTTTCCTGTTTTTGTAATGAGTAGACTGGGTTGATGTGGCTTTGGGGGATGGCCACAGAGCCAAAGTGCCACTCTCATCACATTGTGTGGAGGGTAGCTACCATCAACGTGATTTATACCTGCTGATGTTGACCTTGGCCACCTGGCTGAGGCAGGGCTTGTTGGTCTCTTTACTATCAAGTTAACCCCTCATTCTTTGATGTACTCAAGAATCATTTTTTGAGAAATAAGAGGAGAAGACATTGTCCATTTTCCTAGAAGCAGGAAGAGAGGGCACAGGGTGGAGCAGGGTGATGCAGGTGTCCTGCCCCCCGCCCCCAAAACAAATTTACATTTAGCAATGAGGAGAAGCTGGTGGCCTTTGTGGCCCTTGATGCAGGAGAAGATCTTCTACTAGGATTGTGGTGAGAACAGCCAGAGACAGGAGATCCGTCTAGGAATTTGCTGGAGAGACTTGCAAGAGGATCCTCCCCTCTAGACTTGCATGTCATTTCTAAGAACTTCATCTTCCAATAAAGTGGTGCTATAATCTGACCCAGCTAGAGTAGAAGGAGACACATGCTTTTCAACTTGAAACTCCTATGTCTATGTCACTACTGGACCACTTTGCCTGCTCGTTCAAGATAAATTCATACATGTGATGAATCCAAAAATTATTTTGTGGATTAGCACCATTAGATGGAATTATACTTTGGGGTTAAAAGGGTTAATTTTGCAATGTAACTATTTAAAGTGGACTACATTTTATAAAATGTATGTCCTGGTAATCTCAAAAACCAGAAGTGGCTTGGAACCCCTCATGTGATCTCTGAGACACCTTCCTCTCTCAAGCACCAAGAGGCAGGTAAGGATAACTGAGGGCCCGGAGATTTGATGGGGCCAGAGCTAACCCGATTCTTATGGTTGTTACATGCCTACCCTTCTCTGTTCCAGAGCATGAGCTAACATGTGAGCTTCAGAATTTGGATAATTGATCCAAGAGGAGAGGCCCTGGCTATGGCCAGACTTTGGTCCCCATGTTGGGAAAATAAAGAAATGCTTTGGTTTGAGGTGGCTCCTTAGAGACCTCCTGTCTGTGAAAGGATGAAAATACCCCTAGGATATGAGCAACACAGCAGGTCCACCCATCAGTCTGTTGAAAAGAGCAAAGTTCTGTGGGAATGAAGTCTGGAGTCAGAAGTGTGTGTGTGTTGGTGTGTTGGCCCTGAAAGGGGCAATGGAAGGGCGGGTGCCTAGGACCTGCTTGTGAGCCTTCATGAGTTTGCAGAAAGCTGTTCTGGACATTATAGCTATTATAGTGGTGTGACCTCAGATGAGTCACCCCCATGAGTCAGTTTCCCCAGTTCTCTGTGACATGTAGACAGTCAGAATGGGGCCCTTTTGCTTGTCCCTCTACCATCTGCACTGTTCCCCTCCACCACAACCTCTGCTGCCAGCAGCCACCAGCCACCAGCGCTGCCCACACGTGGCTGTCTAGGATGCTTTAGGCCAAAGGCTTGATGTGGATTATATCTAATTTAATTCCCACAGCCCCAGGGGTGTTACTGTCTTCACTTTGTAGATGGGAAAATTGAGCCTCACAGAGGTTAAATGACACCCTKCATGTCCTGGGCCAGGGATGGGTGGGTGTTAGACCTGTGTCCTGCCTGTTCTGCTTCCTGCTTGCTTAGCAGGGCTTCAATAGATCAATCTGGATTAGACAACTTTTTCTGCAATGGTTATTATTTTAGTCTTAATGGGTCACATATGGTCTTTCTTCCTTCTTTTCTTTTCCTTGCATCCTTTAAAGATGTTAAAAACAAAACAAAACAACATTTTTAGCTAGTGAGATGTACTAGCAAGTTGCAGGCCATGGTTTACTGACCCTTGATAGTAGGCAAATGAAAAATGCAAATTACTCTAGGATGTCTCATCTTCTSAGACTTCAGATGGATCTGCAACCTATTTAAAAAACCCAGGGCTGGAAGGATGGCAGGGTTAGCTGCCTGGTCCAGGCAGATGCTGGCTTTACCAAGGACTTCATGCAATGTGGATACCATGACCCTCTGTCACACTATTCTGATGAGCAGTCCTTCTTCTCACACCTGCCCCTCCATTGGCCAGCCTTCCCTCTGTGGGGCGTCCCTGGGGTYCTGGCTTCTCCACCCTCTCACCATCGCAGTCTCTTTCCTTTCTCCTAGGACTTCCCTTCTCAATGGAGTGAGCCAGTCCCAGCTGGGGCCCCTGGCTAAGCAGCAGAGGAAGCTGAGAGAGTCCACCCTAAGCTCCTTGTACCGGGTCCTTTGTGTCAGGCTGCCTTGGTGGCCAGTGTGGAGCAGAAGGTGCTGAGACAGAATGAGAAGGGCTGGGAGCTCTGCCCACAGCCAGAGGAAGGAACCCGGTCTCTAGCAGAAAGCTAGGAAACCTCTTTGTTCTTAGGGCACCTCAGAATTAAGGAAGTTTTGGGAAAGGAAGCCTTGTGTAAATATAGGGGCTCCGTGTGTGCGTGAAGCAGGAAGGGGGAGTGCAATGTGTGCCTGTCACTTATGGCCAGCACCATTGCACCTGTGGAGGCAGCGTGGAGACAGCTGGGGACCCATYCTCAGCAATATAAAAAGTAGTAAAACCAGGCTGAAAACTGGTCTGAGTTCTGACACCATCACTGACCAGCCCATGTCCAGGTCCTGAACCTCTGGGACAGTCAGTTTCCTCATCTATGAGATGGAAACAGCAATATCTGTCTCAGCAGGTTGTTGGCCTTTACCCAGTGCTTACTTATACATCAGGTGCTATTCGGAGGGCTCTCTGTATACAGTTGATTGATCCTTATTGCTCATGGATTCCGTATCTGCAAACTCACCTTTTTGATAAAATCCAGTGTACTATCAACTTCGATACTCATGGTGCTTCCAAGATCATTCTCAAACATGTGCAGAGCAGAGGGAATTAGATGTGCACATTCAGGATGTGCACATTCCAGCTAAGGTCCAGCCAGGTAACCCTCTGTCTTCTTGTCTCAGTTCAGACTGTAAACAAGTGTTCTTTGCAAGGTCTGTTTGGTACCATGTGGTGTGTGTGTGTGTGTGTGTGTGTGTGTGTGTGTGTGTGTATGTGTATGAATCCTGGGGATTGAACCAGAGCCTCATGCATGCTAGGTAAGCATTCTACCACTGAGCTACATTTCCAGCCCTTTTTATTTTATTTTGAGATAAGGTCTCACTAAGTTGTCYAGGCTGCCTTGAATTTGTGATCCTCCTGTCTCAGCCACCCATGTAGCTGGGATTAGAGGCATGAGCCACCATATYTGGCTTCTTTTTGGGTGATTTTACTGTTTAAAACAGTCCCAAGTGTTGTGTTGATGTGTTGTCTAGGGCATAAAGTGAGAAGGGGGAGTGCAGTGTGTGCAAGAAAGTGCAAGAAAGTTGTGATGTGCCTTGTGAAGAAAATTTGCATGAGATAAGCATTGTTCAGGCATGAATGATAGTACTGTTGACTGTGAATTTAAAGTTAATGAATCAATAATATATATTAAATATGGTGTCTTTAAACAGAAACACACATTAAAACAAAGATATTCATCACTGTTGATGAAAGTGTTGTAACTCGAGACTCACAGGAACCTAAACTGTGTATCTCATTAGGAACTGGATCRGAATACACTAATTCATTGTTTACAGCAACTTTATAGAACATAATCATTGGGAATGAGAATCAACTGTATTAACTCATGTTATCATCACAACAACCATGCTCGATAAGTGCCTTGCTGTCATTATCATTTAATTTTACTGATGAGGAAAGTAGGCACAGAACAATTGCTAAGGTTTTCTCAGGTCACACAGTCATAGGTGACAGAGCTGGAATCAGAGCCAGGCAGTGGGGCCTCAGAAGGCTCCCTCAGCTGCCACACTGTTTTTGAATTAGCTAAAGCGACATGCAGAAAGCTTTAGAGCAGCAATCTTGTACATTGAGCAAGGCTCTGCCATGCAGGGCCTGTGGCCATAGTACTGGGCAGTCTCCAAGTCTCTTCCTCTTTGATGGTCGAAGGACCTGTGATCTCACCAGCTCTTCCAAGCCTGCTTTGCACTGTTGGAGGGCCCTGATCTTCAGGTTGGGAGGAGGGGAAATTGGAAGAGATGAGCTGGGGAAATAGAGGCAGGGGGTACTGCTGGAGTGAGAGATGCTGAGGGCCTAGATGGTGTCCAGGGGAAGTCTGAGGCACAATGTGGCTGTCATTTCTCTTGGTTAAACCAACATGTTTAGCACTGTCTCCTCACCAGCTGTGGGCTGGCTGCAGGGAATAAAATTGTCTTGATCTTTTTTGCAGATGTGGAACTGAAGTTTGGATGTTATGACACTTTGGGGCTCACAAAGGACAGATCTCACAAGGACTGATATTAAGAATACTTCACGACTATATGGTGCAGACACAAGCCAGTCACCACAGAAGCYTTGTAAACAAGGAGGCCACCTGCGCCGGGGATGGTGTGTACATCAGGCCTGTCCCAGGATTTGTCCTGGCTTTTCAGTCTTGCCTCCTCTGCCTCTGTGTCACACACAGATGTGCAGGGCTGGAGTGGATTTTCTCCTTCAGCGAGARCGATGGGATTGTCTGCATTCCGTAAAGGTATACCCGTCTTTAGCTGCCCTCTTTCCTGATATTCTCTAGTGGTGGTATTGTGAGTGGTAGGCATCACCCCTCCTTCACAGCACAGTAATTATCCACTTAGTGCCCTGCTGGTGAGGGGTGAGAGCAAGGGATCTGGAGAGAAGGCCTGAGTTCAAATCCCAGCTGTTCATCAGTCTGTGACCCTGTACGGATCTTCCCTCCATTCTAAACCCTGGTTTTCTTAGGTAAAATCTACCAAACTGCCTAGCCCATGGGGTATTGGGAACATTAAGCATAATTATGTGGGTGATTGTGCTTCCTGTGCTTAAAAATTCTTCATATAAAATGARAGGCATTGGGCTGGGCCTTATCCTGAGGGGATCGCATAGAGAGAAGGAAAGTGGCATTTAGGGCAGGTGGATCTGCTTTGTGGCAGAGCTGCCAGATGCCCCCCGACATTCTCTTGCCCTTCTTCCATTGTCATGGAATTTTAGTTGGGGGCATGGTTTTATTTCCCAGGCTCCTTTATAGTCCGGTGGCCAAATGGTCAAGTTTTAGCCAATGGGATGTGAGCAGAAGTGGTGGTGCAGCTCCTTGGCATGTCCTTCAAGGGCAGAGGCACCGTCCTTCTCTTCCCTGACTCAACCCTGTGACTTTCTCCTCCTTTCTTCTTCTTTCAGGCCACCAAGAGCACATACGTGATGATCTGAGACCGTGCAATACAGCAGCGCCCCCCCCCCCCCAATGCCAGAGCAAAATCAGATGTTGCTGGGTCTCTGCCACGCATCTGCCGCTGTGGTAGCAGCTCCGACCCACTTATGTGCAGAGAACTTCATGAAGGAATTATTGGGGGCTCCTGTTACATCRGTTAAATGTGTAGCTTAACAACTGGGTTTGGAGACGGCTTGATCTCCAAAGTTCATGTATCAGAAGTRTGGTCCTCAGTGTGGACATATAAAGAAGTGGTGGGACCTTTAAGAGCTGGGGCAGTGTGGACGGAGGTGAGGTCATTGAGGGTGCTGCTCTCAGAAGAGACATACGTCGTTCTTGTAGGTCCCCAGTTAGTTTCTGAGAGAGGAATCATGAAATAACAAGCCTAGCCCCTCTGGCTTCTGTGTCTCTATGTGAGCTCTCCCTCCTGCACACGTTTGCACTGGGATGTGGTCCATCATGATGGGATGCAGCCAAGGGGGCTGTCACCAGAGGCTGAATCAATGAACTACACTGAGATTCCATCTCACTCCAGTCAGAATGGCAACTGTCAAGAAGACAAGTAACAATCAATGTTGGTGAGGATGAGGGGGGAAAGGAACACTCAGACGTTGCTGGTAGGATTGCAAATTGGAGCCACCACTCTGGAAGGCAGTAAGGAGATTCCTCAAAATCTAGGCATGGAACCACCATTTGACCCAGTAATCCCACTCCTTGGCATATATCCAAAGGATTTAAAATCATGATACTACAGTGACACAGCAATGTTTACAGCAGCACAATTCACAATAGCTAAGCTATGGAACCAAGCTCAGTGTCCTTCAACAGATGAACAGATAATAAAATATGATGTGTGATATGTGATTCATATATATACACACACACACACACACACACACACAATGGAGTATTACTCAGCCATAAATAAGAATGATTTTATGACACTTTCCAGTAAATGGATGGATCTGCAGACTATCACACTAAGTTAAATAAGCCAATCCCAGAAAACCAAAGGTTGAACGTGTGGAAGCTAAATCACAATAAAGGGGGAAGGGATAGAAGAGAAGTTCATTAGATTGGATAAAGAAAGGGAGGGGGACARGAATAGGAAGAATAAATCTAACATAATTTTCACATATATGAAAATACTAAGTTAATCCCACCATCATGCCTATCCACAGAATGGGGCCCTAATTAGAATAAGATATATTCCATGCTTATATAATTTTATCACAATGGATTCTACTATCATGTATAACTAAGAAGAATCAAAAAATAAAAAATAAAATAAAGCCATCTGATCTTAGACTTTTAGCTTCCAAAAAACTGAGAACTCAAAAACCTCTATTTTTTTTTTAAATAAAGTATCCAACCTCAGGTATTTTGCATAGCAGTGGAAAACTGACTAATACACTAACTCAGCACTGAACTAAAAGTGATAAACTGCTTCTCAACTGTCTAGTTGCTAATGCTTTGCTTTTGTGCAAGAAGAGAAGAGAGAGCTGGAAGGTGTGGAGGGCAGGTAGGTAAGTCATCAGAACTTGTTGGATAGGTCCCCAAGATATCCTGGGAAAGGCCAGACTTAGAAATACCAATGGCATAAATATTCTTATTCCACATACCCTTCTTCCCTCTCTCCTATCCTCTCTTGGTGAACGTGGGCCAGGCCTAATAACTACTCTTTGTTCCTAGAAATACAGTGAGAAAGAACAAGATTCAGCTCCTGCATGAAAACTTGTTATAAGACAGACTCATGATACATAGGGCTTGAACCCCGAGTCCTCCTTGACACTTCTCTTTCTTTCATGCGGCATGAAGATTCATCAGACAGCTGGGCATGGTGGCATGCACCTGTAGTCCCAGCTACACTGGAGGCCCTTCACCACTCTGTAGTACTAACCTTTCCCCATCCCAGGTCCATGCCACCTGCCCCATGACTTGTGTCCCCTTTGCCCTACCTCAGTCTCTTCCTAGGGATCATCGCCATCTGTTTGACTTGCTCCCTCTGCTCAATGTGAGCTTTCAGAGTCGGTGGATTTCCACTGCCTACAACAGCGCCAGGGTGCCTGCAGTTGGGGTGCAGAGGACATTGGTAGGATGATGAYGGGGAGTGTGGGTGACTCGCTGGAACCAGGTGCAGAAGCACAGCTGTTTCTGCCTCAGGGTCTGAGACCTGACCCACAGGTCTGCTCAGATGGCCCACCAGGCCCACCAGGCCATGGCTCTGACTTCAGTTTTGGTGCGTTTGGATTGGTGACACCCGAGCAGGCTGGTGGCTGGAGGGATGGAAGTTTCCATTAATTGTGGAACTTTGCCTCAGGTGGTCCGAGGASTAAGAGTGGTTAGAGGGAGCGACAGGGCTAGAGAGAAGGTTYTAGTGGCAAGAGAGGGGCCGAAGGGTGGGAGGAGGAGTGGCTGTGTGGGTTCYGGCTGCAGCTTTGTCCAGACTTGGCTGTTTGTTTACTCAACCCGTAGTTCGGCCTTGGGCTTTACTTGCTGAATAGTTCTTGCTGAACTCTAGAGGAGTACATGAATCAATACTGGCTGCCAGATGCAGGAACCAAAACCATCTACAGGAAATGTTGAGGCGGGAGGGAGGGAGCCTGCCAGCTCTGGGCTTCCCCTGCCTGGGGCCCCCAGGAGCACACACCAGCTCTTTCGTTCATTCCCCGCTCCTGTGGGAAGTGAAGTGAGCCATCCAATGCTCTCCTGCAGATGATCTTGGTTCTTCACAGCATTCATTCATTTGCTCAGTTGGCAAGCATGTAGTAAGGGACAATATGCAACCCTTGAGGTAGGTATACAGAACATCCTAGTGTGGCAAAATCTGAATTCGAAGTTCACAGCCTCCCTCTTCTGTACTCTTTCCTCTTACTCTTAAAACTTTTCCCCAAATAGCCCTGTGCCTTAGACCAATGCTCTGTGCTCATAGAGGTGGTGTGCTGGTAAATGTTTAACAAGTGGCTCTCTGAAAGAAAAAGAAGAAAGAAAACAAAAATCCTGATCTATCGTGTTGGCCAATTTCCATTGTAAAATGCTCTCACCATGAAAAATTTCATGCCATCACTGWGATGTCACTGAGTGCAAAACTAGGAATAGTGGCACACTATTATATATTTTTTCCCACTTACAGATTCAGTAGTTTATGTGTACAACCTCAAGAATATAAGAGTAAATTGTAAAATAATAAGTAATGAGTTTTGAATGTAACTTATTTACTTATGAGTATATATATATATATTTGATTTATTTATTCTTTTGTGGTTCTGAGGAAGGAATCTAGGGCCTTGTGTATGCAAGGCAGATGTTCTACCACTGAGCTATATTCCCAGCCCTGGTAAATATACTATAATATTTAAGGATGTCTACATTTTGCAAGGGACTTGTGTAACCTGCAGCTCTCACAAGCCAGGATGATCTGGCTCTGGGATATCACTGCTTGAGACCTTGTCAGAAACACAGAATCATGGACTCCATTCGGACCTACTGAATGAGAATTTGAATTTTAACATTTTGAACGGTACTCTCAGGCAATTCGGTGCTAGAGGTGACCACTGTGTATGATTTTGTCTGCATCTTTTCTCAGGTCTCTACAATGGAGAGACATGTATTTTGCTGTCATTTTTTAACAAAAATAAGGTCACATGTGAATGTTTTGCAAGAGTTTGTTTTGTTTTAACTTAATAATATGTCTGATATCTTTCTATGATGGTCTACAGAAGTCTAGCTATTTTTAATGTCTCCACAGTGCTTTAGGGCATGAGTAAGGCATGATTTTTAAAAAATCATCTCTCTCTAAATGGTCACATAGTTTTTTCCCTTCTTCTTCAAGGAACCTCATCATTTAAGAAAATTTYCTCCAACTTTCTCTCAATTCTTTAATCAAAATCTACCTTTATAAAATTCTGAAAATTAGAGACTGGGTCAGTGGCAGAGCACTTGCCTAACATGTGTGAGGCACTGGGTTCGATTCTCAGCAGCACCACATAAAAATCAATCAGCAAATTATTCTATCTACATTAAAACATTTTTAAAAATTCTGAAAATTAACTTATATTAAATGGTTTGTGGCTGACAATAATAGTTTACAGTGATCTCCGTCTTCCCCAGATTTAAAAATTTCATTAAAATTTAACAATATTTATTGAGAGTCAGCTGGATTATAGTTCTGAGGAAGCTGATAGGGAATATAAAGGAGTTAGGCCTGACCTTAAAATGCTTGCAGCTCAAGGAAATACACTCTGTGAACAATCATTCAATCAATCAATCATATAATGAGCAACTTTAGAGCTGTAAAAGCA